TAATAGAAATTGAAGAGGAATGTGAAAGGTTTAAGCAAAATAACGGACTGCAAAATGAGAAACTTAATCTAAATATTGATAAAAAATAAGTAATGTTGTAGGAAGTGATACACATTTTTTATATACTCCATAAATCTGGGAGACAGATCTGCAAAAAGGATTACTGTATGCAAAAAATTTGAAAAAGCAGTTAAGACAACAGGAATCCATATTACATGGAAAGAATCTACATGAGGCAGCAGCATACAAAGAGAAGTTCATTTTTTTATTGTAATCATTTGCTAGTATTCTGAAAATGAGTATTACTTGAAATCAGATAAATCTTTACAACAGGCATTTCTTTACACAACATTGAAGTGATGTGATGGTGGACATTTATTTAAGGAGGTATTTGGTGTTGTCTCTGAAATATTTCAAAATGGATTCTCTTAAAAGGATGGGGCAACCAGAGCTTCAGACTACCAAGTACTATTTACTGCATTTGTTACTAAAGAAAATGTTGAGATAAAAGTGGAGGGATTTCCTGGTAAGAGACAGCAGAGTCACAGTCAGGAGGCTTTTTGCATTCCCTGGGGTATTGCCAGTTATGTTTACGGTATCATATGACACACAGGATTAACATTGTACATGCACCTTCTTTCTTCTCCTCCCTTCTTGTTTCCCATCTCCTTACCCTGTCCCTCTAATCCCCATCCTGCATTCAATACACATATCCTGCAGGAGCATTTTGATCCTAAGATGGCTACAGAGTGACATGAGAAAAATAGGGATGCACAAATCAGTGGTAAGTGATTCATGGTATTGCTTTCTCAATTCTGACTGCGATTGCATGGTTATATATTTCTCAGGACTTGTTAGATCAAAGATTTTTGTTTGCTGCTTTGGGATGGAGCTCTGTTTGATGTGCAATTTAATAAATTGGTCGAGCTCTTTGGATCAATAGTCATCATTTGGACACAAAATGAACATAAAAGTATTTGTTTGCAGACACCCAGAGTCAAGTAATGGGAGGATTCTGTTCATGCAACTCAGCCACACAGTTTAATCCAGGAGTCCATTCAAATGCTTTTCATCATTTCTTTTTATGCACTTTTAATATTAGCTTCAACCTTCAAACCCCAAACTAGAAGATTTTCCTGTTAGTCCAGATGGAAAGTACTCTACCACGTAGAATGCAGCCAGTTCAAATATGCCGTATCTCTTCAAGTCCCCCCTCAAGTCTTACTTAAGAAAATCTCCTGTAGCTTATCAGACAACTTGAATGACTAATAACTACTAAGAAATATTTAACTATATTTACAGGGATTTGCAAATATGCAGGGATTATCACAGTTCGTACATGAAATTAGTACTTTTTTTTTCTCTCAAATTCTAGCAAAATTGGTTCTGAACTATCTTATTCATTTCAAAAACCACATTCTTCATCCAAGTTGTAGCAGCTGATATGGTTGTACAGAAATGGCAGGGAGGGATATTAATATCGTCTCCCTCCATTACTATTATTTGTAATTTAAAATGCTCCCTAGCCCATGGGAAATTTGAGTGTCTCTGTATTTTTATAAGGTTAGGATTCAGTTTACTATGTTGTGACTATGATCACTGACTGAAAGACTCATTGGGTCTATAAAATCTGACTGGAAGTTATTCAAGAAGTAGATATTCGACCAAATTTTCTTCATTATGCAGGAAAACCAAGCAGCTGTACTCCAGAAATGCAATGGATTAGGTCTTGTAATGGAAGAAGTACTGAATGGAAACAAATATTTGGAAGTGATCACTTTAGTTTCCAAATCTTAAACCCAAAGATTTTAAATCCAAGATCCTATTTTTTCTGCAGGATACTCAGCAAACAAAATCCTTCAGAGCTCTGAGCCTTTCAGGCAATCTCTTTTAGAGATGTCTGCCATATCTTTCTGGATTTTGGTAAGGCCTTTGATACTGTCCCTCACAGCATCCTTTTGGACAAACTGTCCAGCTGTGAGACAAACAGGTTCGCACCACAATTGGGTGATGAACTGGCTTGGTAGTAGAGCTCAAAGGGTTGCGGTGAATGGGGCTGCACCTGGCTGGTCCACCAGCAGTGCTACCTCCCAGGGCTCTCTGTAGGTCCCTTCCAACTGAACTATTCTGTTCTTTGTATTCTGTATTGTCTCTAAAAAGACTTGATGCTGACATTCCTTATGGGAAGTGGAGATTGCTTAAATATACAGAAATACAGTTTCCTGAACTATAGCAAGGGCTGTGTTCCCACAATGATGTGGAATATCTGTTTAATTACTAATAACTATTTAGCAATAGGCCAAGGAAGGTCCCTTCATTTGGGTGAAATAACCTTTCTGAAGTTGGAGTTTGTAATCGATTTCAATCGCTCCAGATTTCTTCCTCTGCATGTGGTATAAACATTGAGCTCATTCTTTGTGATAACCAAGTATATAGCAATGGCACAAAATGATTCATCAATATTTTTTGACTTTCTACTTAGCAGAAATTGCATGGAAAAGATTTTAAATACTTTAACAAACAATGTGAAAAAAAAAAAACATATTGAACAAAAACTTTACATTCCCTAAGATTTCGGATTTGGTTCTTGTGGTTCTAAGAGGTGTAAAGGTACTAACCTGTGATTGTAAGATGTTTATGTCAACGTTTATATATTCACATGGTACCCTGAAAAATCGTAAGTCATGGTTGTCAGATGTTTAAGCAGTAAATCATGTGATGATAAAAAAAAAAATACCCTCCTGTGTACAAGCTACCATCCTAATACAGACAGTTCCTGCATTTCAACAAATTAACCCAAAGAGAGAGTATTTGAAAAGGCAAAGTTCAGATAGTCACTAGGAAAAATGGTTTCAGCTTCCAAAATGTGTTTATGTGTTTATGTATATTTTTTGCATATCAATCTAGGAAAAAATATAATGTGGATCAAATTCCACTGTACATTATTGCTGTACATTATCACTTTAATGTAATTACAGGCCTGGGCCTGTCCCTGTGAGGTGAAGGGGATCGAGGGTGTTGGGGGGTGAGCTGTGAGGGGCCGGCTGCAGCTGGAGGGTGGTGGGACGGCCTCATGGTGGGTGTCCCCCTCATGTCTTGCTTGGCTGCAGTTAAAGGAGGGGAACAGCCCCAGTGCCAATGTTGACCCTATATTGCATGTCTCGATACACAGCGCTGGTCCAGAGCTTACACAGAAATCTGGAGTTCAGACACAGAGCCGCGTGGTGGCCCAGCTCCTGCAGAAGCTGCCCTGGCTCCTTGCTGATCTGTTTTTGGTATCAAAGATTTTTTAAAACTTGGTGATTAGTGACATCAACGAACTGTTCACGAAGTCGTTTCAGGAGGAGGCGGTGGGTGGGAAACCTCATGGGAGGCCCCCTGCTGATCATGATGATTAGTGTGTCGGCTAGAAACAGAGCCAAAGGAAATTGTGCAGATGAAGCTTTCTGCTGGAGCAAAAGTCTGACAGAAGACATACAGGCTATCTACTTACAAGGACATATGAAGAATTTAATTTGTTTCTGGCCTCCAGACCCTATGCAGCAGTTGCTCAAAGTTAGACATCAAGGCAACACCAGAACCTGTGAAACAGTAAAAACAAGCAGCTAGAAATGCCGCACAGAAGAGAGCTCTGCTGTCTCCTCTAGGTGCCCCAGGGTTAATAAGGATAACCTAAGGGGAACAAAAGGTTCATGGCATTCTTCCCAAACTTAAAAGAAGTTACCCTAAAACAACAGAGCAGGACAAACATTACTAGGTTAAAGGTTGGAGTAGATGATCTTAGAGGTCTTTTCCAAACTGAATGATTCTGTGATTCTATGATTATGCCATCGTATTGCATTGGACTTTAGTAAGAATGGAGCTCCATCTTATGCCAAGTATAAAGGGCATTCTACCCCCAAAACTGTTGCTGGGCTATTAAAATAATCATATTTTTTTCTTGCCATCTGTCTTAAGTTACTGGATTTTGCTCCTGCCCTGCCACCTAGCAGTCTGCCTCTGGAAAACTGAAAATGAACATCTCCTTAAAACCCTGTAAGGAAACTTACTCAGACAGAAGACATGTTTACTTCCTGACTAAGGACACTCCAAAATTCCAAATGCTTGAAATACACTCCAAAATGAGTTTCTAGATAGCATATAATGCATAACTGATGAAGCAATGCATCTCTAAACCATTTTTTGAGTCACTAGCCATGAACCATTAAATGTCCAACACCTTAGATTTTTTAACTTTTTTTTTTTTTCCTCTCTAAGGCATTAGATTTTTTCTCATTGGAAACAGGACATGAAAATGGAAAGTGAAATGAACTTACACCCAGATGTTTTCTGTTTTGCGTTTTTGTGTTTGTCATAAGCAAGAAGGCCTGTAGCTCGCTCAAAATCAATAGTGGCATGAACTCATTTGGACACTTCTTGGACAACAGAGTTGGTCAGCTGGTCAGAGGGGCCTTTGCCACGTCAGCTGGTGAAGCCTCTGACGGGCTTCACAGTTGTGTTGGACTTGGCTTTTTTAAAAGCGAATGTTAACCTGACCTCATCAGCTCAGATACCTCTGTCATTTGGGAAAATAGAGTTGTGCAATATAGCACGTTCTAGTAACTCCTAGCAAATGCAGGGCAACCTTTTCAGCACGGCAGTCGCAACTGGGTAAGTAGTACGTCAGTTGTTTCTCTCACTTGTCTTAAAACGCGTCAGTAGGCTTTAAGTCATAACCTTGATGTATAAATGCTGTGTTAAAAATAGTTTGCTTGAATGCGTAGTTTTCCAAACTGCAGGAAAAGGAGTAAATTCAACCCTGACTCTTTTAGGTTCCCCAGGACTGCCACAATTAGAGTTTGTTCTGAATTGCTAAGGTATGTTGGAAGACAGCAAAACAGGTAGGTACCTGATAGAAGGTCCTGCAAGAGAGAATTTTTATTGCAGTTGTTTATACTGATTCTCGTGACTTATGAAAGGATTGTTTCAGTTGATGTACATATGCAGCTGAGTATCTGTAGCTGAGTATCTGTACTGTATAGTATCTGCAGCTGGATATCTGTAACACAGTACACACAGTACTGCTAAAAGACAAAAACAAAAAAACAGTTGAATTTCAGTGAATGAAATAGCTTATGTAGTGGTCTGAACAAAGAGATTTGCATTTCTAAAGAATATTAATAGTTTTAACAGTAGGAAAGAAACAGGAGAAATATGTGCTGTTTTACTATTAATGTGCTGTTCTAGCAAGTAAGCCTGCACCTCAAAACTCATGTTCATGAACAAGAAATCTAGGACTGAGTGCTACTGCCTAATGCTGCAAAAGTGAAGGATTGGCATTAATAGTTATCATTAAGAGTATTCAAATAAAAGTCACTGACATAGCCATATATGAATGGAGGCATACTCAATCCTGCATCACCAGAAGTGGAAAAAAAAAAAAAAAGCTTTATATTTCATTGACTATAAATAGAATAGGTCATACGTACTATGAATTCAGTCCTAACTTAAGCATCTTTAGGAGGAAAGGCAGAAAAGAAGCTCCATCTAGTGGTGTGGTTGATTGTAATTGCTTTTAAATTTCATTTGATTGCAAATGCATTCCTATCCAGCAACAAAATGAAAAATTGAAGTAGCATATGAAAGATCATCTCTCCTGCAAACTAAGCCAGCATTTTCTAACATTTTAAAATCAGAAAACGCTTTAAAATCAGAAACTGCTTCTGTTTGAAGCAAAACAGAGCTGATGCCTTTTAATACAATGCACATATGACCCTGACACGTACTAATCTATAATGGAAATGGGCCGTCAAACAAAAATACAAGGGTATGTTAGCACACTTCAAGAGGTAACCTGCTGCAGCCCAGGGGTGGGAGGAAGAGAAGGCAGCACTCATTAGCCAGAGGATGAAGGAGGAGGAGTGTGAATGTGAAGTCAGGATCACAGATGAACCTGTCACACAAAAGATTCTGGAAGGTTAGCAGTTATTTTAAAACATTGTTCCTGTTTCTCAAATTAAAGCAACAAACTTTTCGCGGGTTGTTTTTATAAGAAATTAACTTTCTTCAGTGAACAAACTGTGATTTGTTTGGAAAAGATGCTGTATTTCCTTTCTTCAAAGAATCTTGAACTGTTCTATATATAATAGATTTGCAACATTTTGTTCTGAAAACCACATCAGATGCTTTAATCATTTTTTAATGTAAGAAAATGACTACATTTTAGGAAGCTGCTTTCTGCCTCCATTATACTTTATCACCTTGAGCTGTGAAAGTCATACCTTCTTGAATATATTGACACACACAGTAGAACAAACAGGAGTGGTGCACATGGTCATAGTAAAATAATTTGACCAAAGTCTAGAAATTATTTTAGCAAGTATTTAATTGTAAATGTTTGTGTAGATACAACACTGGTAATTTCAGTGAAGTCAGTGCTTTACAGAATTGGCAGGTATACACCCCCAAGCTGATGTTGTAAAATGTTATAAACATTGTAAAATATAATACTAATTAGCTAAATCACAGCAGATCTAACTACAGAAGTTCCATGCCTACTGTCTTGTACAAACTCATGTCTGTTACTGCTTATTAAAGAAATTCTGTGATTCTGTGAAAGCAGTAACAATTTCAGTGGTAATTTCAAGACCAGTCCCAGTATCCCAGTCAAAGGACAAACAACAGCAGCCATAAACAGAGATATAAATAAAACTTGTCCTGCAAACTCCAGTGAGTAAAACACACTTTGTCTACTCTTTTTAGTGCCTGCATTTCAATTATGAAATATGTTTTATTTCCTCAAATCAGTGCACTGTTACCTTTTTTTTTTTTTCCTAAAGAGTGAAGCAGAGCTTATTATTAATTACCCACAAAAATCTATGTAAAAAGTATGTTGAGAAAACAGATGTGAGCACCCATATGCTAAAAGCTGCCCAAAGTGACATTGCCTCTGTAACCTTAATGCGGTGTTTTGGTGCGTATTGTTTAGGTTACAGTCTTTAATTATGTATTCCTATGCATTTTTCCCTCAGGACTCTCACATTAAGCACACAAGAGAGACAGCTACTCAATGCTGTTGTCGTTGTTTTCCTCTACGTTGCTCAATGTGTAGCTGTAGGCGTTACTTATTGAACAGTATTCCAGTCCTGCTCTGGAGATGCGATTGGATTTCCTCATGGGATTCTCCATAGTGCATACTGCAGAGAACATCCTTACTCACGTAAATAAGCAAGTAAATTAAAGTGAGTAAATTGAACCTTACCACAAATACTATCACAATTCATATCTACATGAATTGAGATTCCACCTTAATAACATTGTTTTAGGCTCCTTGTTCCCAGTGCAGGCTTGGCGTAGTTCAGGGCAGTTGTCATTTTTGAGCCATCTGTAGATAATAGACAGTTCACATTACCATACAGTAAATATTTAAGAATAAGCTTAGCTAAATATGTTTCCTTTGCTGGTGTCTGCACAACTAATCTGCTGTAACTCTGCTTGCGCCTCCATTTTCATATCCAACTAAAACAAAAAGATGAATCCCACATGTCTCTCATTGTTTTTCACTCCCAAACTGGTGAGGCATTTAAAGGCAGCTACTTCAGTGATTCAATACCTCATATCTAATGTCTATAATGTGAGTATGATAGATTGTAAATGCAACCTCAGGGTGCCAAAATTGAATTGTTTATCTTTTTACTTGTTGAAGTAGAAGGACTCAAGTTACTTCAGTATTAGTATTCAGTATAATTTCAATATTCAGAAAATATTTCAAGAAACAGCTGCACTGTAAGGAGTTCAGAAACAATTCAATTGAAAGAAGACACTTGGTGTTCAAGTCAGAGATGTTCTTGAATAGGAAGTGTCGCTGTTTACACTCTGCTCTGTTTCCCATCCAAACAATGGATATGCATGAGCACAATTAAGGTGAAAAGAAAGGTTTTTTACTGTTCTACCTTATCCTCTTCACAACACCAATGGGTCAGTGTCACTCATACCATGCATAGCTTAGCCAAGTTTAAGGAAGTAATTCCAAGCTTACACTACTGTAAAAGTATTCAGAATATAACTGTGACTCTTTTAAGTAAATCATAGCCTGTAGAGTCTCAATTATTAATTGATTCCCATAGCTGTCTCCCTCGCATACCACTATTTCCTAATGATATAAACAGTCCTACCCAAATACTTTCAAACTTTCTTTCTTACTTTCAGACCTAAGGATAACTCAATAAGATCAAGAGTAAGCCAGGTTAATCTTAAGGAACCAAAAGTTGGAGCCCTTAATTATCTTGTGGAGTGATGTAGTAATCAGATTGGAGTCACAGGGAGAATCAGCTTAATAACCAAAGAGGGAGACTGAATGAATGAACTGAGTAAAACTTAAGGGCAGCGGATTTCGTTTTCACCTTTGAATATTGAATGGATTCAGTGATTAAGTCAAATTACTTCTAGGCTTTCTTTTTCAAAGGCTTTTTTCAAGAGTATTTTTCTCTCCTTCAGAGTTTTCCTTTTTTAGCCATTGTCAGAAAGATTCTACTTATTTTCATGTAACTTTTATATGCCATTTTCTATGTATCCCTCCAAATGAAGAAAAAAATGGCATTACTTACTCCTCCTACAAGAAGGATGCATCTATTTCTCAATACAATCCATGTTCTTCTAAATCCAAGAACAAAAGATTTATCTTGGCCAAATGCAGAGAGTTTTTATTTTACTGTGAAACCTGTCTTCCTTTCAAATTTGAAAACTAATGCCTCTATGTAAAACTCCATGTCCTTCCTGACATATGTTCAGTGGGTGTGTTTCCATTATGGTTTATGACCAAATCCACATAGTTGTCATTTCTTGATTCATATTACGGAACAGGAAGACCCATCAGGCATCGGCACTGAACTGCAACAAGATGCAAGCCGATTTATTTTTGACATATAAGTGCAGTGGGTAAATGCAGCAAAGTGGTGACCTTGCTGTATGTTCTGCAAAGACCAATAATCCTCCAAGCAGCCAGTGAAGTGCAAAAGCTTTTTTTTTGAGATGGTAAATCTTCACACTGATGTGATTTTTGCTGCTTCATTGGTTGAATGAATGGCGCAGTTTCTTGCCTGGATTTTTCATCTAAAACTTCCAGACATACAAAGGCTTGCCTGTTCCCTAACACATTTGGCCAGAAGCAGTAGCAGCAATACTGGCAAGACGTTCATCCAGATGCAAACTACTAGCAGGCAGAATATAAAGACAAAGGCTCTAAAGAATTTTTCCTCCCATCGTGGCAATTAGCATCTGGTTTGCTGTAAATGGTTTGTGCACCAAATGACGCAGAAGCTCTCAGATCTCAGGTAAAGAGCTGATCTGTAGCAGCAAAGTTTTTATCCAATTTTGTTATCAAACACTTTACCCATGAAAAACTAATGGAGGGAATTGCACAGTTGCCCCAGGAAATAGAGGAAATGTAATTGCTTTAAGTTCACCAGAATTTGAATTCAAACCAAAATTCACATAGACAAGACAATTGGTCTTTCAAAGTGGCATTTTTATTGCTTTATTCAAAATATATAAATATGTGTATATATATACATATATATATAAACAGAAAGGCCTTAAAGTCATTCTGAAAAAAAAAAAGTAAAAAAAAAAAAAAGTAAATGAGAGTCTGAACATCCCAGAGAAGAGCAAGAGAAAAAGAAGAGACAGTTTCCCTTCATCAGTAGTTCCTGAAAAAAGCTTGCTTCCATTGATCCTATGATCCACTTTAATAGTAGCTGCTGTCAAGCACAATTGGAGGGTGGGGATAGGAATACTTTTAGTGATATAAATACCTTGCAGATATTTACATGAAAACAGCAAGGCTTTATCTGCTTCCTCACCCTTCTCTTCATAGCCTCCATGAAGCTTATTTCTCACAATGGAGCTTCCAGGTGACTGGGGAGAAAGGTTTCAAAGACTATTAATATAATGGGCACAATTAACAGGTGTTTATGGGATTCTTTGAACATTAATGTCAAGAATTTTGCACAGAGTTTACATATAAAACTTACAAAGCTAAACTTGAAAGCCTGAATCCACACTTAAGTCTCAGTATGAGATTTAAAAAAATATTTTCCAAATGACATAGGAATGTACATGTTGTCTACAGTGCAGCTTGTGAAAATACCATGCTTTGGCACCTAAATCCCAATGTATAAATAATGCTTTGGCATTACAGGAGCAGTCTACAAAATATTCTGAGCAATAAAAATATATCTGAAGCAGAACGATAAGTTCAGCCTGCTAATACAGAATAATATTTGTTAAAGATTTAATGTGAAAACTATCTGAAACATTATGTCATGTCTTTGAAAGAAATTTATAATATGGCAGGCTACTGAAGTTTATGTCTGTAATTGCAACTATAACAAAATACACATTTCAGAACAACTCGGTATGTAACATCCTTAATCCTAATAATGCGAATTAACTGAAATGAGAAAAAGATGATTTACTCTAAAATAAGTGTGTTGAAATGGGTTTTTGTGAAAAAAAAAAATCATTCTTAACTAGTTTATCCAGAATAACTATTTTAGTCTATGTCTAGATTCTAATTTGAATCTTGCTCAGATAAATGAAATGTACTATTTACAATTTAAGCTTCACTTCTGAGAATACTGCTTTGGTCCCTAAATCCTGAGATCCTCCTGAAAGTATGGCTACTAGCTGGGAACATGTAGCTTATTTTAATCTTAGGTTAGTTTAAATTACTACACAGTTTCAGGTTGCTTGACTTTGTAGCTAACACTAAAGAAAGAAATCAGGCCTTCAGGCAGGCATTTCGGCAAGTGCTTTTGAATACCTGTGTACAGGCTGGATTGCTCAGGAAAGCTTGCCTTCCAGCCCTGGAGAAAAAGGCTTCCAGCTGGCTGAGAAGACAGTCTCCTCCTCTCCCTGTGGCTTTCTTCCCTGCTGGCACCATTTTCAGTTGCTCTTTGCTTGAAATAGGCAACCACATGATTTCAATGTTGCAGTGAAAAAGGGTGATTGAAGTTACTGTGCAGGGCCAAGCTTTGCTGCCCGTCCTCGGTCCAAGCACTGAAAAACAGCTACACACATCGTGGCAGCGTGAAGGGCAGCACCAGGCCTTTTGTAACTTGAGGATGTAAGAGAAACGGGGGAAAATTCTGCTGGTCTTGCAACCAGAATGTTTATTAACAACATGCATCAACATACAAAGGAGTACACAGTAACAGGTCCACGAAGTAATGATTTATTGCTGGGAATGGCAAATCCTCTCCTTGGAGCAGACCAGAGGCTTCATTAACTGCAACACAAAGGAATTATGCTGCATTGGTCTTAAAAGAAAATATACCCTACATTTTTAAATTTCAACATAGCCTTTTGTTGTTGTTTTAAAAAATACTGTTAAAAAAAATCCTGTGATCCTGTTGATTCACAGTCTGAGAAAAAAGGTGTCTGGTACCTACAGGGTTGGGGAAGGAGAATTTAGCAAAGGAAAAGGCAGCAGTGACTCCTTGTCTCATTATGGGACAAGGAAAGGAACATGTATTTATTGCCAATGGAAGGTTTAGCTGAGTGTTTAGCTGGATGTGGAAGCATTTCCAGGACATTCCCCCCAAAATAAAGGAGCAACCAGGGGAATGGCAGTAACCAGTTCACTGCTCTCTGCTAGAAATGTGAACAGAGAAACACAGTCCTGACTCCTCCTCAAACACCATGGTAGTAGCCACGGCATCTTGTAAGGGTGCCTCGTAACAGTCATAATGTGACAACAGGGGATCTGCTTAAAGGAAGACAGAAAGTGCAAGAAAATTCCCCATCACTGTGCACAGCCAAGCCAAAACCTGGTCCTTAAAAGGCAAGCAGAGGTGAAGCCTGTTTGAAGATCAAAACCATTCCTGCTCCATTCTAGTATGACAAGGATGAGCAAGTGTCCCAGAGTTACAGAGGTTTTTTAACAATAAAAGAAACAGATTCTTTTTTAAACCAAAAAAACCCAGCAGCTTGGTCCAGAGCTATCTGTCATTCACTATTCTTCCTGGCCTGAAAAGCAGCTTTGGGGAGCAGTTTGGCAGAAGCTTTGTTTGTA